AACTGGATTAAATAAAGAGTTGAAATAATCAAACCATTCAGTTGGCCTAATTGAGGGTGGTGTGGGCTGGTCTGCATTTCGGAAGAATCCCCACAACTTTTTGCTATCATTGTCACGAGCGGCTTTTTCTAACTCGGATATTTGATTATTTTGATAGACCTTTTTCTTTTTTATAAGCATATCACTGTATTCTTTTTTGCTAGTACGATAATCAGTTAAAGAATCATGTGTTCTTGTACGACGAAATTGTCGTAGTTTTCTTTGTAAATCTAACTTAGCGTTATTACATTCAGTATCAAACAACCTAGCACAGTGAATGTTTACACCCTTGTTATTCTGACGCATGCGTGGTCGAGTATTCATGAATAAATCTGATACATAGATTGTATGTGACATTACACAGACCTGATTAGTTTACATTCAAATCGGCAATATTACTTAATTAATTTGCATAATAATTTTCAGCTTTTTCATTGATACCTCATATAGTAATTGTCTTATTACAATAAATCTTGGTGCTCTATACAGTGTAACAACCTAGTTAGTTTTGAGTATAAATTATTAATAATTATTACCTAATTTGCATAATTTAATTTTCGGCTTTTCCATCGTCTTTTTAAAGGATTAATCATCACATTATAATAAAACTTAATACATAGGTGTCCCAGAACAATGCACAGATATGATTAGTTTTTGAATGAAATCCAAGCATATAACTAGCTCATTTGCATAATAATTAACCAATGTTTCTACCTATATCTCAAAAAACAATTATTACATTACAATGAGACTTCGCATAAAATTGACTGAGGAAGATGCTAAGGACCTGATTAGCCTTGAGTTGAAATATGATTATAATGATTACCTTAGATCAAACAAACCAGGTCAAACGTCATACTTGGATTGTGGGAAAATCAATGTTTGTCAGCACAAATCTCGCAGCATGACAACCACCACCCTTTACTTTTGAAAACCATGCATATGGATTTCTAAAAGCTAATTTCTGATATCTCAAAACATCAGATTTAAATAAACTTGTGGTAGAGATGCCCTGAAATAAATCGGGCCGCCGCTGCAAACAACATGTGTCCAATCTACTTCACTTTCTCTCACTATTATAAACATCAATACTGTGGATTACATTACAGATGTATGTATTAATGTCTTCATTAAATATTTTCTAGTCAATTTATCCAGAGTGTTATTTTTATTATTAATTTCATGCCTTCAAACCTTGTTCTCACAGCCCGCAATATGCTTTTCTCTGATTACTGTTGCGGAATACAGCGCCCTCAACGGAGCCAAAAATTACGATTGGCAGTCGAGCGTGACCATTTTGATTGGACCAAAAGCTCTTTAATCTACACTGAGCACTGTGACCAGAGTTTAAAGGGCGGTGGCCGTCACACCGCGTTCTGTTCGATATGGGACTCATAGCGACGTACACAACGCGTGTAAAACACATAATTTGTTTACATGAAATTAGAACATGTGCTGCGCGACGACTACCGCCCTTTAATATCTATGTGTAAAATATAAATGAAATTAATCTTTCATCGACTGGAACAATTCTAGTTCTGTGCATGTGCTCAATCACTCAGTATTCATGACACAACCAGGATAGATACACAAATACAACAATGCGACACGAAACCAAACTGTAACAAACAAACAAACAAAATAAATTGAATTGTATTTCAAATCTCGTACACTGAGAGATAAAATTATCAGATAGACACACATCAATCAAGAAACTCCAAATAAGCAATGGCAAATGACATTTAAATAAATAAGTTTTTAAATAATTACATAAAGGATGGAATTTTTTTATGAACATTTATAAATATTTATAAAACATTAAGTTTGAAATATTCTCGTGCTTCATTCAAATTTTTCATTTGGTAATGCCCATCACCCACGAGTTTTTGCCCAAATCCACCAAATTTGTTTAAAACGCAGGAAATTACAAAGAGTCACTGAAATACAGAATGCAAGTACAAGTTTGGCCAAGAACTCACGATGCGAAAGTGAGTCAGTGTCAAAGAAAAAATAACCGACTGCAGTGGATTTCAATACGTCGGGAAAGAACCATTCACGAGGCTTGTGATTGGTCAAGTTATTTTCAATCGTCATTTGAAATAAAACAAAAACAAAAAAACATTTATAAATATTTGATATAAAACAAATTCACGCCTTCGTGAAACCCGGTGTATACTCCACTGAACTCTATGTAAAATACACACTGCACTAATAACATTAACACTATTCAAATACAATTGAAACAGTTGAAAGTAAGGATTTTTGTTGCTTTCTGAGTTAAATATAAGAAAATTGTAAAGTAAAAAGTGATTCGTGACAAACTGAATGAAGTCGGTACTATCATGATGCAAAGTGTATAAAAGATCATAATTGAGCGGTGATATGCGTGTAAATTTTGATGGGTATTGATGTCTACTTGTTTTATTATCATAAAATATGTACATACGTGGAAAACATTTACCAACATTTCAAGGTTTTAATCAGTTCTAATATTTCAAAAAATGATTGTAAAAGCGTTCCTTGGATCAGTAATATATCCTCATCAGCCGCTTCCCGAGACCATGGCTGACGTTGGTGGCGCTGTCGCGTTGGATGGAGCTGCTGTAGTCGTCCGTGTTACGGTAAGAATTTTCGGTAAGAACATAAACAGTAGGTTGTCCCAAGCGTTGATAATAATAGCCATGGACAATATAACCACTTTTAAAATGGCATCCTTAATGGCAAAATATGTGGGAATAAACGCCAACCAAATTACCAAAACTGTGTAGACAGTCCACCCTATGTGACGGGTCTCGTTGTAATTGTCAGGAACATTACGAGTTTTAAAAGCATAAAAACAACACATAATGAGAAGAAGAAGATTATAACAAACAGATGAAATCATTTCACCCTCTGTTATATTACAGCTTAGTTCCACTCTCTTCTGTGTCCTCACTGGCACCATTTCAACTGGTCCTGGGGGCCTCAACATTACCCAGATCAAGGTAATCACTAACTGAAAAACAGAAATAAAATGGAGAATTAGTGTTATTTTCCAGCAGCTTTATTTATTTTCATTTTTTACACTGCTGACGACAATTGTAAAATACCCGAGTAGCCAGAGAAGTCAATCAATCGAAATTATACATGCAATTTTTAATAACACATATTTGTATTTTCTAAACAGCGTGTCCAATATATTTGCACAATGAGTGGCAAATGTCTAGCCTGACATGTATGCGTGAGTAGGCTCTCGTCGGCCAAATGGCATCAGACCCTAAAGCACCATTGGATTAATCAAACGGTTGAGTTATTTCTCTAGAATTCAATGGCACTAGGAGGTGATATATCTATCATCTTGGGTGTTCCTTCAATATATAACTGTTCAAACAGCCACAATAATTAAAGGACAGTGGCCGTCGCACAGCGTGTGTTCGAATTTCATGTAAATAAACAATGTATGAGTCCCATATCGAACAGGGCGCGCCGTTACGACCACCGCCTTTTAAGGTGACTAGTTATTTAATTCGACCGCGAAAAACAATAACTTGTAACCGGATATAGAACAAAAATTATGAATTGCATTGACTAAACTGAGCCTCGTATGTCACGTGACGCCTCGCTACTCACATCCACAGGTGTCACGTGACGCTTTGCTACTCACATCCACAAGTGTCACGTGACGCCTTACAACTCACCCCCACATGTGTCACGTGACGCCTTGCTTCTCACATCCACATGTGTCACGTGACGCCTTGCTACTCACATCAACAGGTGTCACGTGACGCCTTGCCACACACCTACATGTGTCATGTGACGCCTTGCAACTCACATCCGCATGTGTCACGTGGCGCCTTGCTACTCACACCCAGAGGTGTCACGTGACGCCTTGCCACTCACGTCCACATGTGTCACGTGACGCCTTGCTACTCACATCCACATGTGTCACGTGATGCCTTGCTTCTCCCATCCACAGGTGTCACGTGACGCCTTGCTACTCACATCCACATGTGTCACGACATGCAAATAGAATTAGGGAAACATACTTGTACAGTGTTACAAAGCAGGATGTTGAACCAGACAACCATTCACCCACAGTTCATTTACACACAAATGATAAAGAAATTGAATGGAAGGATTTATTTAAGTATGAATGTAATCCAGTGTTCACGGGTAATTTATGTATGTTCATTTAAAACCAATATATAGGTAGATTAACCATAATGAAGTATTTAATTAAGGACACTAACATGTTTTGAATATTATCATAGTATAGCTTGTGTGTTTATGGCTGTAAACGCTACAGCTGTTGTCAGCATTTGTAGACGCCGGCATGATAGCGTCCTGCGATTATCGGCTTATATCACGACAAAAACGATAAAATATACAGATTCAGTTAGTAATTGCATTGTTCAATACATAGGTATGGAGGTAATTTACAAAAAAAAAATAATATACAATGGGTATTTACGAATTTGCCAAAAATCTCCAACTGTGTCTACATTGGCCCGGGTGTTATGTTTTAAAGATCCTTTAATATAGTGAAGCAGTTTACTAATTTGCATATACAACATACCGCTAGTGGGAAACATATTTTCATAGGCTGATATACCAATGACGCAAATAGCATTGGTTGAAATTTACTAAATATGATTGGTTAATACATAGCATTGTCATATTCACAAAATCCTGGCAAACCGTTAGCAACATTAAACAGACAAGCGTGGATTTAAAGAAATTATTGAATAGCTTGAGCACTGATGTACAGCATGTGTATGGTGTGCTAAAAAATAAAATAGATTTCACACAAAAATGTATTTAAAAAGTTAATTTACAGCTTTGTGTGATTATTTTACCAACTAATCGGTTGGAGCACAATATGTGTGTATTATTCACCGGAGTCGACTGGTTGTTGCATATTAGCATATCAGTCCGGTATAATAGAGGTCGTTGGTTCAAATCCCGCAATCGACGACTTGCAATTTTTCACTTGTCATTTATTTAATTACCACTGCTTTTACACCAATACCAGTTTCATTTCCAATATAGTAATAACCAAAGATGTAATAGGTAAGCACATATCTGAATGTAATTAGTCCAGGTCTAAAAAAAATACACAACTTGTGTACACAAAAGACGGATATAATTAGAAAGCGACAATGATGGAATATGATGGAGAACCGATGTTTTTTACGACGAATGGATTATGCTTTAGTGTAATGTAACGACATGGCGTTCTTTATGAAATGTAACCACCCAAATAAAGCGCTGTTTTTATGAAATGAATTAATCGCAATTTATAACTATGGAAACAAACAAAAGCAACACTATATAAATAGAGATATTATGCAAACATTTATATTGGTATTACATAAATCATTGTATTACAAATAGTTTTATAGCACATGCATGCAAAAACTATATGCTATGCCACAAAATAGAACTATCATTAATATAATTACATGTTATATCTCAGAAGCCCAACAAGAATGATTGAAATTACGATATTTCAAGCTTTCGGAATGCATTTAGAGTATAATTCGTATATGGTAGTATGAATCGTTTTACTATGATGTAAAATAATAGTTTAACTCATTTTTGCGGCAGTGTTTGATAATGTCGAATGAAATCAGTTCTCTCTCTATTGCATTATGGGTAAAACATTACAGTAAACAGGCATTATTGTGAGGTACTATGATGATTCCACGTGTTTAACATTCAAGAAATGAGGACAACAAATATTCAGGCTGTAACAAGCAAATTTGGTATTTTAAATGCACTGATTTCAAACAACAACTAATCAAGTGGGATATACAAAACGAGAACTATCTTCTTAAATGTTATTTTGGGGGGTGGGGTCTGTTATACGGTGACAGAAATAATACCATTTTTGATACACAATGTAGCTGTATTTTAGTGATATTAATATCAGGAAACTCTAGATACATTATAATAAAAGGAATATAATTTGATTGTGTATATCAGCCAAAACTGAAAATTGGCTATTTACGCTAAAAACTGAAAATTAGCTATTTATGCCAAAAACTATAATTAGGTAAATATGAATTGATTCAACTCAAAGCACGTATGTACAATTTTTATTGAAATACAATGATTCTTGAGATACAACAGCTAAAATTTGCATAATTAATGAACAAAATAGATAATTAACATACAAATAAGGTCGGATGAGGCTAACCATAGATATAGATCATCTATGTATCAATTTTCATGATATTTGTTGAGTGGTTCTTGAGGTTCAGAGATAACAGTTGAAAATTCAACAAGGTAAGGGCTTTTATATGCACGGATTTCAACTAAACACTAACCAGGTCCACGATTAGCGTAGATCGTCGGTGCCAAGTGTCATTGAAAGCACTGAGACAAACACATACATACACACATGGTAACCACATTGTCTCCTATAAGTCAATATCAGTCAAATAACACAAGAAAGTGAATGTATAATAAATGGGATATGAAATATAAAAATTAACAAAAACGAAACACAACAGTATCATCTTGTCTTATCACTGGTGCATGACGGGAAAATTCACTGGGTATGCACGACATCATGTCAATATCTGGCTATTGCATAATTCGTCTATTCCTTACATCCCCAAAATGCAAACTCTTCTATTCCTTAAACAACATTCATCCTAACCAAATCTATTCCTCAAACAACGTTCTTATTTTTTTGAACAAATGTTTCTATTTTTTGAAAGCAACATTCACCATTTCTTTAACTATATCATTCAGCAAGAATATTCACCCATTCCTTCAACACAGTGTTTTTTTTCCTTAAACAACACTCGCACATTTTATAGCAACAAACAATTACGCTAATGCACACACCACAACTATAAAGATGAAAATGACAAAAAAAAACAAAAAACAACGAGTCGCGGTCGTCTAGTCTACTGCTTTAGGAACGTCCTTTGCAATTCACAGGTCAAGTGTTGAAAACAGTGTATCAAAACTCGTATTCATAATAGTAAAAACACACAGGTAATCCCTTAGACAAACATTGTTACTCACACCGCCTATATCACTGTCATTTTCTTATCTTATACAACATCCAACTATTCAAGGCATTTGGCTATTAAATTAAACATTCACTTATTTCATTGAAAACCATATGTATTTCCCCGAACACATTCGTATATTCCTAAAACAACATGGAGCAATAAAAAACGTCTACGTGTTATTCGATAACAAACTAGCTGTTTAGAATATGGTCAGCCATTTTACCCATGATTACACAATGCAACTATCTGCACTTAGATACAAATACTGTGAAGAAATCAATGAGAAACAGATATGTGCATCGCAGGCATACAACCAAGATTACCTTCGTCATTTTTAAATGAAAAGGAAGCGGGTACTCACCTGTCCAAGTATCAGTAATAGAGTTAACACAACTTGTGAACAGGGACTAATCATCACTGGTGGTTTTGCTGAATTACTTGCTGCAGAGAAAATGCGATATATCCTGTTTGCCCTAGACAAAATTGGTGCATATATTATAGTGAAGCAAAGCATAAACCCCAAACGGTTCACAAAACACGAACTAACACTAGGTTTAGCAATAAAGCTGAATATTATTCCAAAAGACACTGATATGCCACATAATAAAATGGCAGAGAGCTCTCGACTGGATGCCTTGATTACCAAATGTCGTCGATATTTTATATAGTATACAATAATGAAGACAACAACACATTCTCCGAAGGTGGCAAAAGTCAAAAGACATATAGCCACACCACTCGTCCATTGTAGATGAGTTGGTAATATTTTTTCACAGGTAGTGATATCTTTATTCGGCCAGAAACCTTCATCACACTCGATACACTTTGAACTATTTTCATTTACAATTTCGTTCGCATAACATGTCCAACAGTCCCAGCAACATCCATCTTTCCGAAATGTAGCTACCTCACCTGGTTGGCAAGGTTCTCCGCAACGAGACTCTGGTGGAGAATGTCCTGTATTCCAATTAATGCTTCCATTAATATTTACTACGTGATTGACGGTATCAACATTTCCGACATTCACTAGTTCATACTTGTCATTTACAAATTGTAGGACAAAGAGAGGATGTTGTGCTACAATATCACCTCTACTGTTAAATCGTGTTTTTCCATTGACTCCATCAAATGTGTTGTTCAGGAGATATCGCAGTAATTTGTCACCATTCATAGCGTCCTCCATGAATTTATCGCAATTGTTGTCTTGACAAGACTCATTCTGCATTCTATGTAAAGCCCCAGCATAGGCATACACCGCATCAACTACGCTAGCAGCATATGTCCGACTCTCCCGAATATGGAAACTATCATTGCAATTTGAAGTTCTGTCACTACAATTGAAGTAGTGGCTGTAATATTCTAGGAACCAAGGATTTTCTATGTGGTCTTTAGGACTAAAAGAATTAAAATGTTCTTCAAGTCCATCCACTGCCTTCTTAATTGTTCCTACAAATAAACCTCCAGATGCAGCAGATGCATGGCCATCTTGTCCGAGATCAAGTGCTTCGCGATCAGTAGTGATGAAAGTGAACATTTTATCAGCATTTGCTCTCTTCAACGCTGCAAACAGCATATCTGCTTCTCTGGTCAATGAAAACATGACGACCACACGAGCATGGGGATTACTAATCATACCTGAAACCAACTTATCAACATCGTCGTCAGTGTTGACGCTCGAAGAGATCTCCAATCTTGCAGCAATACAAATATGATGATTTATTGCATCCGTGGTGAAGTTACTGATTGCGTTTCTGCCATAGTTTTCTGCAGAATTCAAGGTAAAAATATAAGTCCAGTTGAACTGAAGAAGTAATTCAACTATAGCCAGTGTCCGCTGACTCTCTGGTGGTACTGTTCTTAGGAAGTAAGTATGTATGTCTTTGTTACTTAGTTCATCACTCGTGGCTGCGTGGCTAATTTGAGGCTTGTGGAACAAATGTAATAATTTGCTAGTAGGGATTGCATTTGTACTGAGAGGCGGTCCTATAATGCCAATTATTTTTGTTTTATCTTCAAGACCAGGGCACTCACACTCGTCCAATTTGGGATCCTTATGGATGTCTCCAGGCACGAAGTGAAGTACAGCTGCTAGGGATGATGCTTCAGTTCCACAGTCATCTAGTATCTGAAAACCCATCGTATACCCTGGTAACACATCATTGCGTTTATTGATTTGATCAATTGCATATGCCATGGCCTCCACACGGAACATCTCTCTCAGTGGGCGTATTTGCGTGCAAGAATTATCTTCTTTGTCATACCAATGTATCGTAAAGATTCCTCCAAGCATCAAGTCTCCTTGCTTCAAATAACTAACTGTATTATGCCTTTCCATAAGATGATAACATGAAATGTAGCTTTGATTAAATAATAGGAACACGATCCAAAATAAGGGTGTGCAATGCATTATATTTGCAAAATCCATTGCTGTTTAGTCACAATGTTCGCTGTGCGTGGTGTTTATGATGTTCGTTAACTTCAATGCATTATGAGTGACACCTGTGTGTCTGAGACTTGATATTCGCACTGGGAATGGACTGCTTAGCGTACATATGAATACTCATGGGCAGATATTCTTGTCATACATTGTACCTCTTCATCGGATAGGGTGTCGTCACTCACAGTTGTCCCATAATAGTATCACTGCTCTGGATATAGGAATCCAATATTAGCGGAGACGGTTCAGCTATTTGCAGCCTCTGAAAGGAGATGCATATATTATAATAAATATTGTATTCGTTTTATATTAACCCATGTAAATGTGAAATTATAGGTGACTGTATATATTTGAATATATCTCGCCTATTCTATTTTAGGGCCAAATATTATATATATTGCACAATGATATAAATGCGTTGATCCATTGGTTAAAATGATGAGGTACATATATTCACGATACACAGTTAGGAAAGTAACGCGCTGACGTCATTGTTACTGAATAATCTGTGTTAAACCAACCATAAAGAAGTGGAAATGTGTTCGATGTGATATATTAACGGTTCGCTCCAGTTCTAAGGTTCGACATAATCACTAACGTGTTTCTGTGGTTTGTCAAGAGGTATACCTTTGGCCTTGGCTTAAACATACTATAATAATAGAAGGTTCAATTTAAAACGGTTTAAGCAACATTGCATTTTACTTTTTTATTTACTTATATGATTGCACTCATGGTCGCTTTGATGTCCACATTGTATTTTTGGTGTGAATTTTGAATATAGTTGAAATGTCTCTAGGGGTATATTAATGTGATTGTTACCCTCTAACTGCCCTCAGTAGACATAGTTATATTTAACAAAACCGTAACGTTACTTTTATATCTGAATTCTGGAAATGATTTCCATTATTCTTTGACGGAAACAAGAAATTTCTTTTCTGTGTAAACGTTTTTTCTTTACACCATTCTACTATCACGCAAAGTCATTAGGACACATATGTATTTACAAAACTGACATTTATGACGTCAGACAATATTGATTTTATGATAACTCTTCCAGGGTTGTGGTTACAATGACTGAAATTCACAAATCACTCCCATTATTATGAATTCGCGTCACGACCGATTTAGAGCCTAAAGCGTTGGGAAAATGATCGTTTTGAAATCCTAGTACACCCCTAGGGGAGCAACGAATGAATAAAAATAGATAATATCTATTTTTCATATTATGATTTACTGTGCTCACAAATCACACACATTTCAAGCACATTCAGTATTTCCAGTCGACAATCAATTTCAGGCCCCGTCATGTGACTTTTGGAAAGATTTTAATTTCAAAAAAATACAGTTTATCACTTTGAACTGTGCGTTTTACGACTATTTCAATTGAAATTTGTCTTTAACAAAGTGAATTAGTTCTGCCAGCTATGAAACGCCACGAAGGCAACTAAAACTTTGATGTAAGGTATGTGATACTGATTTGTGTATTCAAGTATATGTAAATTAATATAACAAATGATATTTGATGTAGATATTATATTCATAATTAAATTGGCACACCTCATCTCATGATAATTTAATTTAGGTATACATACTTGTTCAAAGCCAACGTTAGTATTAATTAAAAGAAATTCAGCAGCAGCATTCCTAAATTTGACGAAACACCGTGAACTATACGCCACAGCTACTCCACTGTATTGAATTTATTTGTTATTTCCTTTTACTTGTTTCTTTTTATATAGGTTATATTTTTTATTTATTTTATATCATGCAGTGAAGATGTAATAATAATAATTAATTCATTGTTGTATTGATCAACATACCTTCTCCCGTTTGTCTCATGTTTCTTTGAGTTGTAAATTAGAATATTGATTGTATGTGATTTTATTTCTTCTTTATGTTCGGATTCATGTATATACCCAGTGTTGTCACTCTATATGTAAATGAACATATCAAGCCATATATCGGGATATACTGCAGCTGTGTTGTGTATGTATTTTTTTTTTCAAAATTACAATGTTAATTAATAGCCGCACACCAAAGGTTATTGTTTTTTGAGACGTTTATATTACCTTTGTAATACAGAATTAATGTGGGCGGGCGATAATTACAAAACTAGAACGAATGACATCAAATACTTATATACTTACCGATACTTATATTTTATATTGATATTTTAGAGTTTGAAATGCCACATTCACAAAATTACAAAAATCCACAGGGTGTGATGATTTGATATCTAAATTGTAAATTATTAGAATTTTTTTAATAGTCAGCCATAATTTCAAAAATTCAATCTGTTTGCACGAACCAATCAGATTGCCCCGATTTTTATTTCACAGTATGAATGTTTACAAAATATTACACTGCTTTATTACACTGAACTGCCATGACATTCTCTTTCTTCTCGCGTGGAGCATTGCCACGTAGTTTACATATTTTACTGTGGGGTAGAAAATACAATGTTTAGAAGACCAGTGGTGATGTGTATTCAGAATGCGTTTACACCCAAGGCAATTCCATATCCTATGACGAGACAAAGAATAGCTTTTCCTAATGCATTCGACACATTATGTGTAATAAGACAACGATTTCATCAAATATCTTGTAGTAAAAGGCACAACGCGTCAATCATTTTAGAATAAATTAATATCGAATATATAAAAACAAACATTTCTTAACTATAATTATCGACGAAATGGATGGCCTATTGAATTTCTAATAACTGATATCCGTTTACCCATGATGCAATGTGAAGATTCCGACATGTTATTTTCATTTATGCGCATATATTGTTCTTACTTAACAACACAGCTACTACATGGGCTGCACTCAAATTCAATGGTTATACTTTGATTGATTGACTTAAGTAAGTGAACAGCATGAATCCAAGTAATGATATAGAACAACTTCCGTTGAAATTGAAAACGCAAATAGTCATTACGAAGTATTACCATGCCTTGAAGACAGAATATACTCAGACAGTACGCCGTCGCATCGTCTCCGCAGCGCGTCGGTCGATACTCCCGCTGTACTGTCGTCGTGCATACTTTTCGGTATCCTCGTAATAACCTTATTATTTCCGTCTTTTCCTCTTAGGGAAACATCATGGGAATGCCGAAATCCAAAACGTTTAGAACAGATTTAGCGAACTTCTTTGTGTTGGCTCCGGTCAACTCCCGGGGGATTACTTGATGCAAATCACATTATAGGGCGGCACACCTTTGGGGTCTGTTTTTACCCGAGTTTTAGAACTGTTACTCATTAGTCCGGGTGATGAGTAGATTCAACCTATAACTGAATAAATTTAGCAACAATTTGGTCTCTGATGGGATATACAAAAACACTATTCGGTCTATAATGGGGTATGGTTTGTGAGGTGAAAATGGTGTATGATGGGGTTTGGGGTTTTACTTCCCAGCCGCACACCACTACCAAACTGAAAGGCCAGTTATACTCCGGGGTCAAACCCCTGGGGCAGCTATATGTTTGTTTTTATTATTAGAGGACGTTTACGCGCGTAATCGTTCCGTATATGGAATTCGCGTTTCCTAATAGAATAAAATACCCAGTGCAATACCGCTAATTATGGCACTCTGTAACTTGTGCCGTTACCGTGAGAGATGTATACATTATATTGTGAATAATATATTCCTAATTGTTGCAAATATTCTGGAGAGTGGAGCTGGTATAGAACATTTACTTCCAGTACAGAAATGTAAGCAACTGATAATGTTCAAATATAATGTACCGGGTCTCTGTGACCCACTAAATTATGCAGCCGTATTTGTTTAGAACTGTAATTGCATATAACATGACATGGTGGGAGTGTGTACAAATCTTTTTCTGAGCATGCAGTCGCGGGGCTGGTGTGGTATGTTAGCTATTGTATATATCTAGTAGCATCGCTTATGTGTGGGCTTCGAATACAACGTTCAGCACCACCAATGAGGCTTGCTTGACAAACCTCAGTGACGGTGCTGAACTTCACTGACATAAAACGTAAATTGCAATTGACCTCACTGTGATGATGCATTGGTTGAGGAATGTGGAAAAAGGGACCGAAGCATGTGCACTGTGTACACAATATGCTAATGACCTTTAACGAGGTTATCACGTAGATATTACTCGTGAATATTATTTTAATAATATTTGAAAGTGCAATTACCAATAAAAAGCATTTATTACGAATGCCGGAATCATGTATATTCTGTCATGACCTCCCACTCTGTCTATTGTGTCAATTTGAAGACTGTACATGCTTTCTATCATACTAAACTGTCACAAAACTTAACAACTGTTTCTGACCTTTACAATCAAGTCTGAATGAGTGTAAGCAAGCCACAATAGTTTCGATTGTATACAGCGACACCAGTGGCTTTTCCCGGATCCATGCATCTAGGATGATTTACAAAAATTTATTTATTTGTTTCTCGTCATTTATTTTAACAACGAATCATTTACAGACATAAACATCTCATTCATTTTCTATTTTAAAATTACGTTTTTCATTTGTTATTTTTGAACGTCCTAACGAGTAACACAAATACGAACCGCGGATAAATTTTAAAGTAGGATTCGTTGCATTTTGGGAATGTTAGTTTCGTTGCATCTTGGGAATGTTAGTTAAACTAGAAGCGTTCTTGTACTAAATATCTTTGCGACGAATTGTATACCTGCACTGGCTCTGAATGAAAAGGAATGATTGACATTGATGTGTCCAGATCGCAATTAACGGACTTCATCAACCTGTCAAAAAATGACGTCTTTATCACTCACTTGGTAATTATTTACCACTCGAGTCTGATGCATGAGAACAATAATGGTGATTGTGTGCGTGGTTCTACGTGCACGCAAAATGTATGCCTAAGGTGAATTTATTCCTGTTACGTGCACAAAGA